GTTTCAATTAGATTCAGTGGGAACAAGAAGACAATCCTGACTGAGGGAAGAGCAGATCTGATGTCAGTTTGTTTATACTGTTGCCATGGCAAGCACACTATCAACAAATAACAGCACGCCCCTACTTACCCTCTCTCAAAAAACCTTAATGTTTGCCAGAGCTGTTCTTTACTACTCTAAACATCAGTACTTTAGTAGAGTATGTACTGTAGGGTCTGGGCTGAAATCAAAAAGTGCATAAAAGATGTACAGCACAAGAATGAGCCTTCTCAGATAGTCCAGTGTGTGATAAAAAGACATCAAAGTTCATAAACCAATTGGATAGCCAATGAATAAACCATAAACCAATGAAGGATAGCGGTGACTTGCACATCAGGAACATGAAAGCACGTGGCTCAGGGTCGAAGGTCAAGGTAAGGCTGTTTACGTTAAACAGGTTCAGACACTCTGGAAATAAACTCTGCCTGACGTCACACAATGACGTGTGACTGAAAACCTTCATTAGCATTCAAGAGAAGAGACGGGGATTTCCCATGTTGAGACTTGTTGAGGGAGTTACATAAGTAACACTGAAGTATTTGTTGAACTGACAATGACAAATACATGATTACATAAATTAACTTCAAAACGTGGAACTTCAAAATGGTACGTCATGTAATAATGGGTGAAAGCCTCTTTCACAATGTAACTCTTCAGAAGATGAAACTCATAACATGAGTGATTATTAGATACACTCCCTGAGAGTAGATGAAGGAAAGAGGACAATGACCAGAAGAAGAGTAGATGAAGGAAAGAGGACAATGACCAGAGGAAGAGTAGATGAAGGAAAGAGGACAATGACCAGAAGAAGAGTAGATGAAGGAAAGAGGACAATGACCAGAAGAAGAGTAGATGAAGGAAAGAGGACAATGACCAGAAGAAGAGTAGATGAAGGAAAGAGGACAATGACCAGAAGAAGACTAGATGAAGGAAAGAGGACAATGACCAGAAGAAGAGTAGATGAAGGAAAGAGGACAGTGACCAGAAGAAGAGTAGATGAGGGGAAGAGGACAATGACCAGAAGAAGAGTAGATGAGGTGAAGAGGACAATGACCAGAAGAAGAGTAGATGAAGGAAAGAAGACAATGACCAGAAGAAGAGTAGATGAAGGAAAGAGGACAATGACCAGAAGAAGAGTAGATGAAGGAAAGAGGACAATGACCAGAAGAAGAGTAGATGAAGGAAAGAAGACAATGACCAGAAGAAGAGTAGATGAAGGAAAGAGGACAATGACCAGAAGAAGAGTAGATGAAGGAAAGAGGACAAATGACCAAAAGAAGAGTAGATGAAGGAAAGAGGACAATGACCAGAAGAAGAGTAGATGAGGTGAAGAGGACAATGACCAGAAGAAGAGTAGATGAAGGAAAGACGACAATGACCAGAAGAAGAGTAGATGAAGGAAAGAGGACAATGACCAGAAGAAGAGTAGATGAAGGAAAGAGGACAATGACCAGAAGAAGAGTAGATGAAGGAAAGAAGACAATGACCAGAAGAAGAGTAGATGAAGGAAAGAGGACAAATGACCAGAAGAAGAGTAGATGAAGGAAAGAAGACAATGACCAGAAGAAGAGTAGATGAAGGAAAGAGGACAATGACCAGAAGAAGAGTAGATGAAGGAAAGAAGACAATGACCAGAAGAAGAGTAGATGAAGGAAAGAGGACAATGACCAGAAGAAGAGTAGATGAAGGAAAGAAGACAATGACCAGAAGAAGAGTAGATGAAGGAAAGAGGACAATGACCAGAAGAAGAGTAGATGAAGGAAAGAGGACAATGACCAGAAGAAGAGTAGATGAAGGAAAGAGGACAATGACCAGAAGAAGAGTAGATGAAGGAAAGAAGACAATGACCAGAAGAAGAGTAGATGAAGGAAAGAGGACAATGACCAGAAGAAGAGTAGATGAAGGAAAGAGGACAATGACCAGAAGAAGAGTAGATGAAGGAAAGAGGACAATGACCAGAAGAAGAGTAGATGAAGGAAAGAGGACAGTGACCAGAAGAAGAGTAGATGAGGGGAAGAGGACAATGACCAGAAGAAGAGTAGATGAGGTGAAGAGGACAATGACCAGAAGAAGAGTAGATGAAGGAAAGAAGACAATGACCAGAAGAAGAGTAGATGAAGGAAAGAAGACAATGACCAGAAGAAGAGTAGATGAAGGAAAGAGGACAATGACCAGAAGAAGAGTAGATGAAGGAAAGAGGACAATGACCAGAAGAAGAGTAGATGAAGGAAAGAAGACAATGACCAGAAGAAGAGTAGATGAAGGAAAGAGGACAATGACCAGAAGAAGAGTAGATGAAGGAAAGAAGACAATGACCAGAAGCAGAGTAGATGAAGGAAAGAAGACAATGACCAGAAGAAGAGTAGATGAAGGAAAGAAGACAATGACCAGAAGAAGAGTAGATGAAGGAAAGAGGACAATGACCAGAAGAAGAGTAGATGAAGGAAAGAAGACAATGACCAGAAGCAGAGTAGATGAAGGAAAGAAGACAATGACCAGAAGAAGAGTAGATGAAGGAAAGAGGACAATGACCAGAAGAAGAGTAGATGAAGGAAAGAGGACAATGACCAGAAGAAGAGTAGATGAAGGAAAGAAGACAATGACCAGAAGAAGAGTAGATGAAGGAAAGAGGACAATGACCAGAAGAAGAGTAGATGAAGGAAAGAGGACAATGACCAGAAGAAGAGTAGATGAAGGAAAGAGGACAATGACCAGAAGAAGAGTAGATGAAGGAAAGAAGACAATGACCAGAAGAAGAGTAGATGAAGGAAAGAGGACAATGACCAGAAGACGAGTAGATGAAGGAAAGAGGACAATGACCAGAAGAAGAGTAGATGAAGGAAAGAGGACAATGACCAGAAGAAGAGTAGATGAAGGAAAGCAGACAATGACCAGAAGAAGAGTAGATGAAGGAAAGAGGACAATGACCAGAAGAAGAGTAGATGAAGGAAAGAGGACAATGACCAGAAGAAGAGTAGATGAAGGAAAGAGGACAGTGACCAGAAGAAGAGTAGATGAGGGGAAGAGGACAATGACCAGAAGAAGAGTAGATGAAGGAAAGAGGACAATGACCAGAAGAAGAGTAGATGAAGGAAAGAGGACAATGACCAGAAGAAGAGTAGATGAAGGAAAGAGGACAATGACCAGAAGAAGAGTAGATGAAGGAAAGAAGACAATGACCAGAAGAAGAGTAGATGAAGGAAAGAGGACAATGACCAGAAGAAGAGTAGATGAAGGAAAGAAGACAATGACCAGAAGAAGAGTAGATGAAGGAAAGAGGACAATGACCAGAAGAAGAGTAGATGAAGGAAAGAGGACAATGACCAGAAGAAGAGTAGATGAAGGAAAGAGGACAATGACCAGAAGAAGAGTAGATGAAGGAAAGAGGACAATGACCAGAAGAAGAGTAGATGAAGGAAAGAGGACAATGACCAGAAGAAGAGTAGATGAGGTGAAGAGGACAATGACCAGAAGAAGAGTAGATGAAGGAAAGAGGACAATGACCAGAAGAAGAGTAGATGAAGGAAAGAGGACAATGACCAGAAGAAGAGTAGATGAGGTGAAGAGGACAATGACCAGAAGAAGAGTAGATGAAGGAAAGAGGACAATGACCAGAAGAAGAGTAGATGAAGGAAAGTACAACTGAAATGAAATGAGAAAGTGCTAGTCGTCAGGAAAGGAAAGAAATGTGACTGCGTTTTATGCATATAAAACAAATCTTCATTAATATTTAAAAAGGAGACTGAGGCATTTCCCAGGAGCTTCTCCTCAGATATGCGATAAACAGAGCTCAAGTCAACACAGTGTTATAGTTTTGTTTTATTAAGAAATACATTTTTGTCGGTTTGCCATTGAGAGCTGGAGTGAGTCACTGAACAACAAATAAAATACTTATTTCCTCTTAGCAAAAAAAAAAAGAAGATGGTTAAAGCGCATAAAATTTCACACAATTTAAAATAAAACAACAAAAAAATAACATTTTAATATCCATACCGGACTACGGTATATAAAAGTAAACCATCTTGGGGACGTTGGTCTATGAATGAGGCTCTGAAGAGCTGGAAACTCTCCACACACACTTCCCTTCTCAGAAAACACTCCGCTGAGAGAAAACATGCTGGAGAAAGACAGGAGGATCCAACATCAGAGTGTCAGTGCGGGTCAGCTGCGCGAGAATCGGCATAATGAGTGGATTCTGACAAGAGGGGACAAATGCAAGGAAACTGAGATGGATACTGATAATTCTCATTGTTGTGGGCAGGAAAGTGAGAGTGAGGAAAGAGTTAATGCCAACAGTGTGTTGGTATCAGTTATCAGAGCCTTTGAAATGCCAGACAAGCGTTCTTTAGGGAAGACGAGCAGGGATTGGCGGTCAGTTGGGTCCGTTCCCTCGAGTGCTCACTCCTGGATCCCAGACGGATGCAGCCGTCCATCAGCCATCCCGTGTATCAACGCTGCGCTGCGCCGCCGAGAGGAAAGGTCAGTCGTGTTAGGTTCAGAACTCTGACAGACGGGCAGGGTCACAGTGGACGTGACACACCAATCCTCTGGGACTGCAGCGGTTAAAAAGGTCAGTCTCTGCCACAGTCATAACTGAGAGATTCCTGGCTCTTTCCTAAGAGTCCTTCCTATTAATTGCTCAAATCAACTGTACAAACTCTAACATTGCTGGTTTGGTCATAGTGCAGTCACACGTTTGTACCGAACGACAGATTTCATTCCTGATGCTCTCATCCTATCAGCAATCAGAATGTGTTATAAGTTACAAGGGAGGGAAAAAAAAACCTTGGATGGGGCCGTCAGTGCTTTATTCCTGAGAATAATAAGTGTATTGCTCCCAAATTGGAACATGGAGCCGTGGCTCAATCCTCGGAGTGCATTTTATCAGGTTCTCCGTCTCGTGTTAAGCAATGTGCATATCCACATCCAGTCCCAGAGGTGGTTGAAGTGTTTTTGGGCAGGGTCGGGGACGGAGGGCTGGTTTAGTCCATCTCCAGGTCCATGAGCTTGTTCCGGGGGCGAGGAGTGTGCATGGGGTTCCTGGAGAAACAGCAGTGTGCGACGAGTAGACCCAGCAGCACTGAGAGCAGCCCAGCGATCACAGCAGCAAACATACCGTATCCCACCGGCATCTTCAGAGACTCCCACACTGCAGGACAACACACACAATCAGCACCGTCAATCACCAATGCTCATGATGACAAACACGTATGGGAAAATATGGTATTCAAGATTCTTCATCATTAAATGCACATATTCTGAGCCTTCAAAAGTGGGCATTGCTTTCGACAGCATATGAGGATGCGAGTTCAGCTATGGACGCAATGTCTGGGAGGAGCGACTTGGGATGTAGATTTATGAAGAGATGTCGTAGTCTTAAGGCCAATTCACATCGCAAAGACATACGCCAACAGACATGTCCGATCAGTATTACCCCTGGTGGAGTTTGTTGGCGTTGGTTGAGGTTTGTTTTCACTCGACTGAACAAGTTCAATCAGCGTTACCTGGAATGTCTGAGCAGTGAGATATGATTTTCGAAAAAACTCTAATGTAATTTTTTTTTTTTAATTGTCATCAGATCACATAAATCAGTGGATAATGATTAGAAATTATGATTCTGTCTAATAAATATTAAGTTAGCTTTTCTAATTATATCAATATATACCGTATATACCCGAATATAAGACGAGGTTTTTGTCCTAAAAATAGGCTGAAAAATGGGGGGGGGTCGTCTTATATTCAGGGTCGTCTTATATTCGGGTATATACGGTATATATATATATATATATATATGCACACTTTTGGACTATAAGCCCTAACGGACACTGTTCAGTGCAGTTGTGTGAACATAAATCACAGCAGACGTGACTGAATATGAATGTGTTTGAAAATATCATACGTTATGAATTGATTATTTTGCACTCCTGACAAATTAAAAAAAATACTATCACTGCAACCGAATTTTAGCATAAACAATGAACAAATATCGAAGCTGGAGTATTTAATCTTTCTAATGAATCTTTCCGGATCAATTGCAGTTCTCTGCATAAATTCAAGTCTTTCGTGTCGCAGCAACCACGGCTTCACCCTCAACCTCTTTCGTTTTACAGCCCTGGTTTTAGGCGAAAAATGACACGTAAAGACATTCTGACTTGACATTTGTTGTGTCTGTTGGGGCAGTGTGAATTGGCCTTTACACTTGGCACAACTTTGGTGGTTCTAAAAACAAATCATGGCAGACTCCCAGAAGTCCTCAGAAATCCTCATTCCAGATGCTCCTCCCAAGCTTGCTTTAATAGTGGACACCGTGGAGACCTTCATCTAGTGTTTGATAGCTGACTGTTAACTATTGCCCCATTTACACGAAGGGAAGACACAGATATTTCGCTGTGGTTCGGCCTCTCATTTACACGAAAACCCTGTTTGTATCACAGAAAATGATTATTTCTAAAAACTCCGGCCAAAGTGGAGATTTCTGATAACGCCAGTTATGTGTGGCCGTGTCGACTGGGAGAATAGGGGGTTTAGGTTCTCAAACGTCACATTATGCGCCAGAAAACGTCATGTGAGCGCCCAGTTTGGCAGAGTTATGATGGCGCTCGATGGCATATTTATGAGGGTTGATGTAAATTACAGCTTTTTTGAAAACGATGTTGTGTGCACAATGTTATTATAGAAAACGGAGGGGGGGAAATATTCGTTTCTCTAAATACCCGGCTATGTGTAAATGTGGCCTATAACATGCGTGTTCAATCCTGCTCCTGCAGAGTTCAGCTCCAACACACCTGACTGGAAGTTTCTAGTCATCTGAAGACCAGGTTCAGGTGTGTTGATCAGGGCTGGCGTTAAACTCTTCTGGAAGGAGCAGGATTGGACACTCCTGGGCTGAATCCAAAATCGCTCCCTAAACCCTCAATCACTATTCCTTACGTTAGTCCACTAATACAGTTCACTTGAAGGAGTGAATAAAAACGAGTGAGCGAATTCGGACAGGCGTTGAACGTACATCGGCTATACACTCGATATTGCGGTGCATTGTGGGATAGAATTAGTGCACTCAGTAACGTCCACTATGGTTTCCGACACCACTACAAATGGCTGTCCCTTCAAATAATGCCCTATTTGAGGGTATAGGGGGCGATTTCGGATTCAGCCCTGGTCTATACAGTACATGGTGGAGCAGAGCTGGGCAACTCTGGCCCTCCAGATCCACTTTTAGCTCCATCTCGGGTCAAACTCAGCTGCCTGTAGCTCTCTGGTGATCCTGGAGACCTTGATTAGCTTGTTCAGGTGAGCTTGATCAGGGTTGGAGCTGAACTCTGCAGGACAGTGGATCTCTAGAGCCAGAGCTGCCTCATTATCGAGGTCTTCTGTAAGACCCAAACTAATAAAGCTTTCTGAGACTACTCTGAAGAGAGTGGAGTCCAGAAAGTCTTTACTTATTGGCTCACTTCACACTCATCCCAATGTATCTTACAGAGATCAGGACTGATAGCTGGTGTTTCTGATGTTACAAACGACCTTGTAACCAATCAGATCAACGTGTGATCGTCAACCAGTGGATCTCTGAGCTGAGTGAGTGAGTGGAGGCGGGGCTCATTTGCATATTCATAGAAGCGCGCATACTAAATGAGGCAAGGGTGTCGAGTTACATTCAAGGTATTTTAAGGCATCACGAAATTCAAGGAAAAAACATTTAAATATGTCACTTTGGTGATCAAAGATGGGTTTTAAGGGATACAGTTATTAACTACAGGTGGACTTTATTATTCTCAACACACTGCCACTTTTTCCTAAATATCTTGTATCGAAAGCTCTGGCACTGACAAGTACTTTGTCCTCGGGGGGAATCGCTGTGGTTCGTTTTAATTTGACTGTGCCTCAAACACACACGGCTCTATTACAGCGCTCTCCATCTTGAATGTCAAAACATACATGACACATGCTGAGGGGGAGGGCATGGATACGGTACGATGAACGTGGCCCATTACAGCAGTGGAGGTTTACTGCCGTTTCTGAACACCTCTTTAGAGGAAGTGTTTGTGGCAGAGAGAAAACGAGGATGGAAAATTACAATTTTTACACTTTTTTTGAGTAAGCTAACCTCTAGCATTTCATGACCCCTTTAACAATCCCATCCCTAGACCAGATTCCCTTTAGGATCTTACATTGCATCTGTACGGAGAGGAATGTAGACGCCGAGGTGATGTCGTTCTCGCGGCCCCAGGCTCCAGTAGCGGGGGACAGGAGCCAGGGAGTGGCGCTACAGTGGTATTCTCCCGCATCCCTGTCCTGAGTCCTGTGCAGGCTGAGGACAAACGTGTGGCGGTCGGTGCGCTCCAGGCTGCTGTGGTTGGAGCTCCTCTTCACCACCCCCCAGCGGTCCATGCTGATGAGCGGCACTCCTCCGTTATCCACGGCCCAGCTGGAGCTCTGGAACCAGCGCACGTCAAACGCCTCGTCACCTGTGGACACGGCGGGGAACTGTTCAAGTCAACATGGGAATCAATGACATTTAAACAACGCTCTGCAAATTTTGTCATTGAATAAAACGTTTTACTCAGAAATATGTGTGATTATGGAAGTCAAATGGGCTCTGGGCTCTTTATTCATGAGAGGTACACTAAAAGTCAAAAGTTTAGAATAATTAACAAGAAAAAATAACATGACTTTAAAAAAAAAATTTATAAAATTTTTCAGTAATATATGAAAATAGAAAACCGATATTTTAAATTGTAATGATATTTCACAATATTTTAAAATGTTATTTATTCACGTGAATGCAAAATAATTACTCCAGTCTTCAGTTTCACATGATCCTTCAGAAATCATTCTGATATGATGCTCAAGAAACATGTTAATCAAATATGATGATTAACAATGTTGAAATTTGAAAACAGTTGTGCTGCTAAACATTGAACAATTATTTATTTTTATCCAGCAAGGATGCATTAAGTTGATCAGATGTGACAGTAAAGAATGTTACAAAAGATTTCCATTACAAATAAATGCTGTTCTTTTGAACTTTCTATTCATCAAAGAATCCTGAAAAATAAAATGCATCACAGTTTCCACAAAAATATGGATAAGATGTTTTCAACACTGATAATAATCATAAATGTTTCTTGATCATAAGATCATCATATTAGAGTGATTTCTAAAGGATCATGTGACTCTGAAGACTGGAGTAATGATGCTGAACATTCAGCTTTGATTACAGGAATAAATTAGTTTAACATATATTCACATAGAAAGAAAGCTATTTTAAATTGTAATAATTCACTGTTTTTACTGTATTTTGATCAAATAAATGGAGCCTTTGTGAGCAGAAGAGACTTCTCTCATTTGTGAAAATCATAATTGCTCGTAACTTGTGACAGGTGGTGTATCTCATGTGGATTCGACACTCTTGTTCACAGGCGCTGTGTTTCAGCACTTTATTCATGTACGTTTACCACAACCACAAGTGTATCCATGACGTGTATGGAAAGGAAACCAAGCTAAAGAGTGTGTCTGAAGTGGTTGAATAGCACTCCAGCTCCAGTGAGGCGGCAGAGACTGCTGTGAGGAGACAGACAGGCCTGGACACGCCGGCCCCTCTGCTATGTGAGGAATCTCAATGAAGGCCGTTGGGTAATCACAAACTGACAACCACCATCACCACAGCCTTCTGATACGCCACTCGCAACCCAGCTGATAACTACAAGAACCCCCTGTGAACTGCACAACTTATGACTCTTAAACTGTCATATGGATCTTCACATTTATTTCTGAGTTCGGGACAATTTCAGAATTTTTTAGCTATATATTTTGCTTGATATTGATTTTGTTTCACACTGGCTTAAAGGTGACATATGATGCCGCTTTTCACAAGATGTATTATAAATCTCTGGTGTCCCCAGAATGTGTCTGTGAAATTTCAGCTCAAAATCCCCCCAGATCATGTATTATAGCTCGTCAAATTCGCCACTTTTTGGGTGTGAGCAAAAACACGCCGTTTTTGTGTGAGTCCCTTTAAATGCAAATGAGCTGTTGCTCCGCCTCCGTTCAGAAGAGGGCGGGGCCTTTACACGAGCTTCAGATCTCCAGCAATAACAAACACACCAGTCTCACTGATCCAGGATCAGGAATAACCATTGCTCTAGAACTGGTCTCTGGTGGCGCCAGCGAAGCCAAATGTCGGCTGGTGTGTGTAAACGTGCAGATTAATGACGGTAATATTATAATAAGATCCTCTTCATACGTCAGAAGGGAAGTGAACTCTGATCGGCTTATTTTCTGACATGTTTGCAGAGAAAGGCTCACCAAAACTAAGTTACTGGGTTTCACTTCTCATGTTCTCTGGGCTGGTAGAAGCACCGGACCCGATTACAGCACTTAAGTCAGATTTTCATGATATGTCCCCTTTAAAAGTGTTTTTAGAGGAACCATTAAACACTGTAATGTGATTTCACACTAGCTGTAGAGGAATAGTTCCCCCAAACCGAGGTGAACACGTCGTTCCCGACTTCTATTCTCTTATGATGGGGTTTTTTGGGGGGGTGAAACACAAAAAGTAATTATCACACAGATCTGGAGGGATAGTTCACACAAAATGTTATTATTTCGGCCCTGTTTACAGCTGGTGTTGAGATGTGTTTTGGTGGATCAGAACACACGTGGACGACAGCTGTAAACGGGTCTGAAACACTTCTCGACAGCAGAAACTAAAGCTGACGCTCTCCGTATGTTTTTCTTGCATATGTAAATTGCATGAACTTATTTAATGTTTCAAACAGTCCATTAATGAAAGACAACGACTGTTATACATATATAAAATGAACATACAATACACATATTAGTGTTCCATTTAAAAGAAACAACTTAGTGACAGATCTTCATTCATCCCATTCGGGATACATGTGTTTAAGTTAAAAACATACCTCGCCTGTCGTTGCAGGAGGCGGTTCTCACGGTCGCCCCCTCTCGGAGACCGGTTGACAAGCTCTGAGCCCACGAATCTGAGCATATTGACAGCATGTCCCGCAGAATTAAAATGCCTTGCGACTGATGATTTGTCATCATCTTTCTGATAGCGCATTTATGCTCAAAAATTCTGGTTTTGAGTTGTCGCTTAGTTTTGCCCACATAAAGCAGCCCACAAGGGGACGTCAGTAAATACACAATAAAAGTGGATAAACATGTGATTCTGCCCTTTACTTTGTATATCCTGCCAGCCTGTTTTTGGATGTGTAAATAAATTATCTCTGAGCATAAAATTACAATCTGCACAGTTCAGACACTGTGGAATTGTCTTTCATTAATGGACTGTTTGAAACATTAGTGACATTATTGGACTGGATATCACTTTAACATTATTGATCTTATTTAATCCATTAGATCGAAAGATCTGAAAAAAAAAACACACATCTACCCGGCCATAGACCCTCTTCCTTGAAGAAATCAGGACAGAAGTGTTTGAAAGTGGACAGAAAAGAGGGATTAAAACACCAGGTGTGAACGGGAATGTGTCTCTCTCGTCTACTTCTGATCCGATCCGAAAACTCATCTTAACTCAACTTGGCAACTATTTCAACTTACTAAAACCGTTTAGAAATCATTTGAATGGTTCAATAACCTGTTCTGGAGAGAATGGTGGCTTCCCCCGAGCCGAGCGTTCCCAGGCGGAAAACCAACCTTGCAACATGAGGACTAACGTCCCGGTGAGTCGGAAATATAAGTCTCGTGAGAAGCGAGAACGAGCGAGAAACACGAACTGCTTTATGGCAATTCGACATAATTCTATAATACTGTGTATGATGTATTACCCACTCGGTCACGATAGAGTTGGCCGGCTCCGATAATAACAAAAGCACATGAGCAGCGGTGGACAGCAGGAGAAGTGAGTTACTTTACGCCAGTGTTGTGTAATATACGCCCACAGCTGTAGGGGGCGCTGATGAGAACACATGCCACCGCAAAAGTGGAAATCAGCGAAGAAATGACTAGAGTTGCCAAGTTCCCCTTTAATTCCCGGAGTAAACAGGGTTTTACTGCAACAAAACTACATCTTTATTTCTTCATCTAAATGTCTTTCTTAAAGGTGCATTGTGTAATATTTAGGAGGATCTGTTACAGAAATGCAATATCATATACATAACTATGTGTTCAGTGGTGTATAAAGACCTCACTTAATGAACTGTTGTGTTTTTATTAGCTTAGAACGAGCCTTTTCTCTCTACACACACCGAGGGTCGCCTTACATCGACATGTTTCTACAGTGGCCCTAAAGGGACAAACGCGTTTCGTCACTAATGTTGTTCTTCCTGCAAAGAAGCTGCGAAAGTCAGTGAATAATATTCGCAATAACATTGTTTTACTGAATAATTAAGTAAACCCAATTCCCTAATTTATCTTTGTAAAGAAACCTCAACTGGCTACTCTCTGCTGTCTCAGACGACGACATCACTTCCTGTCGGCCACCGTAACTTCTGTTGGGTGCAATTCGCAACATCACCACTAGATGCTGCCAGAAATTACACACTGCAGCTTTAAGTCCATGAAACGGAAGTCAATGCAGATCAATGAGGGCGAGTTAATGATTGCACTCCATTTAATTTGCTTCATGTTTCTCAAACACAACGTACTGTGTGGCTTCAGAAGCCTTGGAATAAAGTGCATGAGTCATGTGGACTGTATCTACAGGAAATAAGAGCGGATTGAGTGACATACGGATGAGTAAATGACTGAAGATTCATCCTTCGGTGAACTGCTCTTTAGAAAGACACTGTACGGTCTGCTGCTGCTCGACTCCCTGGGGATTACACTTACAGAAACACAATGGGAACAGAAACCTTTTCCTTCAGGGCGACAATCTTTTCAGAATCCGAACAATCAAAGCAGCACAAAAACATCTCTCGTTTCTCTAGACTGTACACTGAAGAGAGAAGTGTGAACATTGTGCTGACATGTATCCATGACTTCAGCAAGTGTGTGCCTGTCTGTGGCTTCAGACGGAGGAGGGAGGAACGCTTCGCCTCTTATGCCCAGTATTACCCAACATTCAACCTCAAGAGTGCAACATTTCTGACTGATACGGTCTGTATGTTCCTGAACATGTTCACTAAACAAGTACACATGTGACCACTGACGGCCAATAGGAAACTGCAGTGCTTGAGAGGCAGCAAAATAACAGTTTTAGGGTTTACAGTGTGTCTTAACCATGTGGGCCATGACAATATACCACCAACAAGCAATTAGTCTGTCCACATCAACTGAAGCAAATCAATCAATCACCAAACGGCCAATCAGAAGAGTTTCCTGAACGTCCCTCTCTTTTCACGCTTCCTCGCACCCACACCTAATGTACTAGGTGTGGGTGTATTAGGTTTCGTATTAGGTGTGTTATGCCTATTTTCGTGTTTTCTACTATTTCAAACAGAACTAATACTAGTTTTTGGAAGTTGATATCACAATTAATAAGCTAAAACAATTCACAAACAAGAGGTTGTATTATAGAACTTTAAAGTCACCATGAAATCAAAATAGTTTACGTATTTTAATTGTTTTGTGCAATATTGTTATAAATTATTTATACGTGCACACATCATTATTGTTTTAAACAAGCTCTTGCAGCATCTCTTCTCTTCTCTGATGATGTGGGCGGGGCAACCTGTCACTCACATGAGATCAGCCAATAGCAAACCACAACCATCCAAACAACCAATCAATTCCCCACAGACACAATCAAGCCCCGCCCACATTTGTTCTTGTTCCAGAAGCCGTTTCACTCGGATATATGTCACAATTAGGTGTTATATTGACTAGTATAAAATAGTTACAGAAATACACACACACACAGTTACACACATACATCACGTGATGCAGTCTAGTAGGTTAGACTAGTGCGCTTGTGCATTTAGAGCGCACGCTTTCACTGTGTGATTTAGTCTAGTAAAATGCATTTATAATGTCTTCAATATTCAAGATAAGGGGCTAAAATAGCTCTGTGTGTCTTTTATATTTGTCATTTAATATAGTTAATCAATATCACACAAAGAGTGCTGCTTTTTCTCCAAATCAGCATTATTGCAAATGTGATATTGATTTTATACATTTCAATAAATAAGTATTTAATAGTGACTTACATTTTAGACGCAATATTGCCTGTTTTTGCTCCATTTCACCAACGAAAATAGTTCAATCTCTGAGCGACACACAGATGTGTTTTGTTACTGAATGAACGAATCGGTTAAATGAATGATTCAATGACTCACTCATTAAGACCTGAATGAATCAGGAGTTTGAATAAATCGATGATTCAAGATGAACATTCAATTGAAACTCAATGACTCAATTATTAAAAGTGATTTGCTGCCACTTACTAGCAGTTTTAATTTCACATTTAATTTCGAATTTGTAATTGCAGGTTAAATGCATTGATGTCCCTCTGAGCTGCATTCAACAGTCTGTGTAAAAGATGTTTTTTTTTAATATCGATTTCAATGAATTGATACAAAATTTAATTTACTGATTAAATGTAAGAATTTTGACTAAAAATATGATGCATGCATTTAATTCGTTTCAATGGCTTTAAAAAAGATAAAAATGCCCATAAAAGGTAAAAATCAATTGAAACTTCACAACTGAACAGATCACTGCACAGAACATACACTATATGAGTCTCTGTCCGAAACCTGCCAAGGTACAACACAATAAACACACTCAGCAAAATATCGTCATCGAGAAAATATTGAGATGATATGTTTTGTCAATATCGTACACATCTAGTCACAATAGTGTAGAAAAGATAAGAGCAACTTCCGTTTCATGTCGACTTTAAATGATGGACGGCCAAAATCTGAAGAAAGGACCAGTTTACCACAAGGCCATCATTCATGACACTTCACACACTGTACGGTTTGTTCATTATAGACTTTGGATAATTTGATTATGCTTTCAGCTACTAATAAGAGCAGTGCTCTGAGATGCATTCAACACACTTTACCAGATTTAAATTTTCACCCAAAAATATGTGTACAAATGCCAAAATGCCTACTTTTTAATAGACCAATAAGTAATAGTAAGTTTAAGCACTTTAGTCAATATGTTAAAGCACTTTAGTCATTATAAAGAAGCACTTCAATCTGCTACCCCATATAACAGCTCATACCGTATTTATGAGTAACTATTAAGCAACAGCAACAAAAGGAAAGACGTGATACAGGATGTGACTCAGGGGCGAAGTTATCGAGGTAATCATTTACAACTCGACACATAGTTTATAATATTGGCTGTGAATAACTGCAAAAACCCACAAAACATAAGCAACAGCATGTGACTTCTAAGGAAAAACTTCTAAGGAAAAACAAAGTCTCAGGTGCTGATGAATAAACTGAAGACTGATGCCTTGATCAAAGAGTTAAACCTGGATATTGATATTAAAACATGCCATCCAGAGAGCGTATAAGGCGAGCGGATTACAGCCAAGACTGAACAGAGCATAGACACTAATGACTGGTCAAAAGCTAAAAAGTGTTTTACAAAAAAACTTTAAATAATTCAAATACTTAAAGCACTCGGCTGCTTTTGTGGTTCTGTTATTCTCTTCCATCAGTGCTTTAAGCAGAATGTGACCGTGAATTGAACAGGGAGATTCGAGTTCACTGTGGGTGAATTTCACAAAACCAGAAATGCATTGCTGGACAATATCTTATTCTCTTATAAGTATACACTTTATAATAACCAAAATTAAAATGTAATATCATTGGATTAGATAATTTATCACATTTGTTTGACATTAGAATTAGACATCAGAAGGTTTGAAATTATAAAGAGAAACACTATTGTACTATACAGTATATATATTCATTATGGTAGTATCTCAGCACTTGCCAGTGTTAGGAGAAGCGTCCAGTATGGAAATGATGCACTTCATCTGGACGGTGTCTCCTGGTAACACAGTGTTTGCTTCTGAATGAATGGATATGTTGAACACTGGACCTGCAGATCGGGAAACACACACACACACTCACTGTTATTAAAGTCTACCTAGATTTCATAGTCTTTAAGTGGATGTTGAAGACTTCTATAAAAATTTCAAAAATTAGTTTCTGCATACTTTTGTTCTTATTCATAAAAAAAATAGAGTAAAAGAGAGAGTTCCAAAGTTCCAAATAGAGAATTCCAAAGAGAAAGAGAGAGTTCCAAAGTTCCAAATAGAGAATTCCAAAGAGAAAGAGAGAGTTCCAAAGTTCCAAATAGAGAATTCCAAAGAGAAAGAGAGAGTTCCAAAGAGAAAGAGAGAGTTCCAAGGTTCCAAAACTATTGTCTACATGTGCAGCATCCTGACCGAATTTGAATCTCAAAAGTGATTGAATAGTAAAATCCCCCATAGTGGAACTCATAATAGGGCTTTGCACGAGAGTTTCAGCGCTCAGTTGATTTGAAAAGTTGCAATACTCTGTGTATTAAAGTGCATAACACACACACACAAGTTGGGTATAATGGTCCATTTTAATTAGTCTGGACTATTATTACAGATACTTTATCAGTGAATGAAATATTGATGCAGGGCTTTTTCAGTGTCAAGTTGTTACAGCGTCCAGTCATTTCTGTCTAGACGCGTTTCCTTCTTATATGTGTATTAATAACACAAAAGGGTGCTTATTCGCATGCATGACAAAACAAAATCACATTTAAAAGAATTATTGAAGAATTGTTAAACGTTAAGAAAATTGTATTTAAAGGGTGTGCAAGCTGTCGAGTCCCATCATAGATCAGCCATTATCAGCCATAGATCAGCCATATATTAGCCATAGATCAGATCAGCCATAGATCAGGCATAGCATAGATCAGCCATAGATTAGCCATAGGTCAGGCATAGGTCAGGCATAGGTCAGGCCCTCACTTTTATTCTGAGACTTAAAATACATCGTTAATACCTCCTTTTAATTTCGAAAGCTTTCACTTAGTGTAGAAAAAGACGGTGGCCATCGAGTGTCCAAATGTGACTACAGAGGTTATAGCCTACGTTTAGCATTTTACGTCTGACGGTTGTATTTAGGCTTCAAAATTCATGAAAGTTGTTTCTGTGCTATGATGCAGTCTGAATCCTGACTGATATTTTTCATAGATATAATTTTCTGACAATAGGTAATTTGTGAAGGTTATCAGGTTAACAAAACGTGTAAGAATCATAAATCATGTGTTTGGTCACAGACCATATGGGGTTTTTGTCTGAAAAACAAAAAAAACAGGGTGATTCTAACTTTTGGGATGTTTTACAAAAGTATGTTATCACTGCAGCGCTCTATAATCAACATTTCATTCGTTTGCTCTGCCAGGTTGGATTTTTTTTTTTTTTCCATTAAGGGACAGCCTTCATTGTGAAGGATACGTGCAATCTTGCCTTCGTATTTGGCTTTAGTTTAGCTCTTGGAACAAGCTTTCACATCAGGAGTGTCTATGATGTTTGAGATGAGAGAGTGTGTGTGAGTGATTGAGAAAGAGAGAGAGAGAGAGAGTGTGTGTGTGTGTGTGTGTGTGTCTCTGTGGGCAGCAGGAATCTACCCTGAGGGAGAGACTATAGAGCTCTAGTCATCCAGAATCAAACATAAAGAGGGAACTACAGCATTAGTGTGTGTGTGTGTGTGTGAAACTCAGCTGTAAACACACCTACAGGCACTTCAGCATCACTCTTCTGAGTGTTAAAGCTCACTGTACTCTGAGTCTAGTCTAGTAAGCAGTGTAATACCTGTGTGTACAAAGGCAATCTCAATCTTGTTGGACTCGGCGCTGACGGCTTTGACCCACTCTCGGTTCTGATCCCGAGTCCAGGCCGTGACGTCGCAGTAATAGAAGCCGCGGTCCGTGACCTGGACCCCGTACAGGCGGAAGCGGTACTCCAGCTGCCCGGTCTTCTCCAGAACCACGCTGTCGACCCGGCTCGGCTCGCTCCACTCCTCCGACTGCAGAACCGAGTCCTGGCTGAGCGAAAGCACTTTCCGGGACTTGCCTCCCGAGGTCTCCTCAAACCGGATGAGAACGGTGTAGCCGGGGTTCCTCAGGTTCTGGCCCGTCACCTGACAGGTCATCTCAAACGTGGATCCACCGGTCGAAGCTTCTCTCACACGATGGGCTACTACTCGCAAAACTGGAACTGAAAAGACACACACAAAAACACAGCATTTGTAAAATACAGTCCTAAAACTTCCCTCATAGAGTTTCTACCCGTCTAAAACAGACAGATGTGTGTTTGTGTTCGCATCTGAGAGCAAGAATAGAGGGCATGGCATGAACCTACTCCAGACCGAGCAGGTCAAACGCTGAGAGCAGATCGTGCAACTCTGACCCGTGGGTGAGGGGGTCACACAGATCTAAAGAAGAGAGTTGGCGGACAGGAAATTTAACAAATCAATCAATGAATTCTGTTTAACTCCAGCAATATGAGACGACATGCATTCAATGCATTACGTTATACTTTTTTCTTATGCTCACATTGTTTTTAGAGCTGTCAGCAAACTCTCACAACATGGTGGCAATGACACAAAGTCTGGTTTAAATCTCCAGTTCGGAGGTAGAGGTCTATGTGCAATGGATTTTCCTGCAAGATTTTGCACAAAATAGGTTGTCACGATCCCTTCTATGCTGATTTTTCAGTCCCAATCCTGTAGAGGCCGGGACGTCAGGAGTGTCAGGCTGTTTTCGAGTGTTGGGTCGGCTTGGTTTCCTCTGAGATCTGCACCGCTGGCTCTAGTCGTCGCCGTCGGGGTTTTTGGGCCGCTTCAGCATGTTGAATCGGGGCGTCGGTGAGAGAGCGTCTCTGATTGGCTGTTCAGCTTAGCCAACGAATCAGAGCACGTGACTAAAAGCGAAAGCAAGCAAAGACGACGGTACAGACAGAAGCCGGTTATAATTTTCACCGGAGCATTTGAATATTTTCATAATAACATGAGCCGACTGGAATGAAGAAAGGGATCAGATTGATAAAGCAAGCACTGCTTTGTTTACAGCTTGTATATCTACAGTCCTAGTCTCGGTTTCCCTTTTTGAATGACGAAAATAGATGATACCCGCTGATACAGACAGATATGTACTTCCACGCAGGCGCAGAACACGCAGTGCTAGTTGACAACCACCTTTAGTCCTTCCGGTGTGTTCAAGCGCAGCTTTTCGGCCAAGACACCGCCTCGTTTGGCCAACGTCGGCTTGGAGTGTCCCAAGCTTTAGTTTCAGTCTCCCTGTGGGGTCATAGGCTACTTTTCCCAATTCCCCAACACACAGACCTCACATTGTTGCAATGTTACGTCACAGGAAGGTACTTTGCCTCACTGTTGCTTGCAATCGAAAGACATTGAAAATATCAAACGTGTAAACTGCTTTTTTGTGTGTGCAACGGACGAATAAAGCATAACATTCTGCACCTTAAAACCTAAATAAATTTGATGTATCCCTACATTTCTGTATCCCACTTCCTTCACACATCAGTCTCTTCTCCGGGTCCCACTGCTCACCATTCACAGAGATTGATTGGAAATCCTTTAAAAATGTAAGACGCTTCATCTGAAGATCATCTGACCATATTTTGGTAAAGACTTGACAAACTTTGTAGAAATAGCACCAAAATATAACCATAGCAAGTTCATAGGGAATGGGCTGTTGGTGGCGCTAGTGGATTTAAAGCTTGGGACGACATTTCAATGGAGGGACAGAAAGCTCTCGGACTAAATCTAAAATATCTTAAACTGTGTCCCGAAGATGAACGGAGGTCTTACGGGCTTGGGACGACATGAGGGCGAGTCATTAATGACATCATTTTCATTTTTGGGTGAACTAACCCTTTAAGAGATCGATCCCAAAATCGCCATAAGGCATGTTTAGACATTCCTCAGTCAGTGTGCCAAATTTCACAACTTTCTGCCATTCGGTTCTTCCAGAAACGGTAAACAAAGAATCCTAACAGACGCCATCACACCTTACAGGTGCTCGCCACCTGACAAGCATCAGAAACGAACATTTTGTCATCATCAGATATAGTTTCAGAGCACAGCATCAGTGAAAGTGCAGTGGAAAGCGTCCAGTCCCAGACAGAGCGGCCATTGTGTGCTCAATCTGTCTTCACAGAGAAGACGCCATCACAGACACAATTAAACTCATTTACTCTAATCCCTTATTGAGCGCTGAAAAATGAGAGACAGTGGAGACTTTCAAACAGCGAGCTTTGATGCTTTTTAAAAAAGTGGTGAATGGTCTCGGATGCTGGGAGCTCTTAGCTCATGGGGTAAAGATGAACTATCGGGAGAGCGACAGGCTGGGCTGAACACATTCAAACGTACTTGCTTAGAGTATATTTCTGGCCGAAGACATGTTTCATGGCCAACTTTATCAAACTAGATGTAATAGTAGGGTGTGTAACGATACCCTCGTGTCACGATACTGAACTCACGATATTATTGCGATACACCAAGACATATGATAAAAGGTTAACAAAAAAGGAACTGTTGATTAAAATGCTAAATTTAGTGTTACATTGTGTGTGTAAAATGAATAGGTTTGGACTTGGTGCTGGAAACCCAAAGCACAGGACAATAGAGACACCAGAATAACAATATTCATGATTCTGAAGCTGAAAACTGAATTATTTTAGATGAATATGCTTGAACTCTGTCACTGATCAGATATATTTAAAATAATGTAGGACACTTTTTACTGGTAACAAGATATTTGGCATTATCAGGACACACACATATTCCCCCATTGCATTATTCTACATGATATTCAATAGTGATTTAATGTAGTACTGACACTAAATCTCTGAAAACTTACATTTTTCCCTCACACTGAATTTTTCATTTTGGGTGAACCATCCACAATATATGTTGCCACTGTCCACGATACATGTTGCATATTTGTATTGCGATATATTGTAACACCCCTATGTAATGGACAATAAAAGGAAGGGATCTAGTGCTTACTCTGAGGTGTCCACTGAACAGAAACAGGAGTGGACTCGACCTCCTTCGCTTTTTCCCATCCGGCTGGCCGAGTGGGCATCCATGCGTTCACCGCGCAGGAATAAGAGCCCATGTCGGCGTCTCGAGTCTGAAGCATTCGCAGAACGAAGACGTTGGACTCTCTCCTGCTCACCGCTATGTCCCCGCTGAACAGTCTCTTCTCGTAATCGTTCCCAGGGATCAGCGCTCCTTGCTCATTCAGGGAGGCTATCATGAGCTTCTTCTGGGACACGTCTCCTGGCGTGTTTGTGGAGTACGACCAGGTCACGGCCAGGCGGCCATCTTGAAGGTGGAGGAGGTCGAGCACCTGGCAGAGCAGTTCAGCGGGTTCACCGGTGGCCTGGGGGTTCTCAGAGGCCGTGAGGGTCACCTTGAACTGCAGATCTGCGGGAGACGAAAGGGAAATAAAGACGATCAGGCACACAGAATAAACCACAGAAAAGACATTCGCCTACATCTAATGATCAAGTATGAACAAAGTCACCAGATGAATTGCATAAAAATGTCTTTTCATGAATTTTCAGATATATTTCCCTCCCTTCAAACGTGCCATTGGTCAGATAGTCCCACCTCAACCCATTGTTCAAACAACCAAAGCAAAGATTTAAAGAGGGCACGAAACGCCAGTAGTGATCGTCTTTTCTTCCCTATTGTGACGTGTATCTGAGTGAAACGCTCCCCAGATGTCGATGCAAGATGGAGGACAGGTTATTTTGATGAATGATTTTTAGGCACATGAATTTAAAACAATAATGATGTTTTAATGCCGGAAAATTGCCAGAACTATTTGCCAGTATGTTTGTAAAGTCCTGTTCACACATCTGTAAGCGATCATTCGCCGGCGGAGGCTGTGTGTGTGAAAGCAGCCAGTGCTTCATTTGAGCCGTCACTCAAAATCATTACTAAAGTCCAGACACTGCATTTATATTTAATAAAATAATACTTATATTTATCAAGCATGCATTAAATTGATCAAAAGTGTCAGTAAAGATTTATATTTCCAATAAATGCATTTATTTTGAACTTCTATTCATCAAAGAATCTTAAAAGATAAAATGTATCAGTTTCCACAGAGATATGAAACAGCACGACTGTTTTCAACACTGATAATAATCATAACTGTTTCTTGAGCATCAGATCATCATATTAGAGTGATTTCTGAAGGATCATGTGACACTGAAGACTGGAGTAATGATGCTGAAAATACAGCTTTGATCACAGGAATGAATTACACTTTACTATTCACATAGAAAACAGCTGATTTACACTAATAATATTTCACTGTTTTTACAGTATTTTTTTATCAAATAAATGCATAAATGAGCAGAAGAGACTTAAATCTTACTGACTTAAAACTTTTGAAATTGAGTATATGAGAATTATTACTGCTGTTTCCTACTGGTATATATTAGTGTACAAATACAGTATGTGACATATTAAACAGTGTGAAAAACATGCCTTGGTTATTTTTATTAGATTATGTTTTATTTCTTGTTTAATGTGCTTCTTTAATGAAACTTTAGGTTTAAAACAACTATTTGAATGGTAGAATCACACATTTCACATACAAAATATATTAAAAGAATGAAAACCAGTGAGATATAATTGTTTTAGGAGCAGGCTCCATCAGCCAGTGTGCAGTAGAGCTATGCTAGCCGACCTCGTTTCGTTAGCTTTTCTCTGGGTAAGAAGGGAAGGGCAAGGGTGCACATTCTCTCCGCTTTCAGCTGTCATTGTTCAAGCTATGGTAAGCTCTCACACACACACACACACGCACACACAGTACCCAGCTGTTGTGTGCTTTGAGAAGAAACACCTGTTTGTATGTTTAAGAAAACACTTTATTTGGTTCTCTATTGTCAGTACTGTTCTAATAAAGACAAAGGGCCGGACGTGATAAAATTAGTCTCTGAACCAGTTTCTCTGCTTCTCATCTCACCCTGACCCACATCACACTCTTTCACATCCACACACTCGCTCCAGCACTGCTGTGTCCTCAGAAACACACCGTAACACACACACTCAAGTCCACCAGCTCTAACAGAGAGGTCTACGGCACATTGCGTTCAGAAACATAACGTGGCAAAGCTTTGAATATCCTGAACATGGAAACTCCCCGAGCTGAATTCACAGCGCAGTTCAAAATGCAAAACACTGATTAACATTTAACGTTCAGGGAGACGAGACTTCAGAAATAAAGCTGCGTGTTGCACAGAAACCCTTGACATGAGTCTCCTCTCACCGGCGGCAGAACGAGCACGCAACCGGCGGTTTGAAGACACACACACACACACACGACGTTTAAATGAGCTGTAATGTTTCACAGTGAGACATTAGTAGAGAGGCGGGGGAATATTCCTCAGAAACCAGGCGTTAATAGAACATATCTTGTCATAATACAGTCAGGAAATATGGTTCTCTCTCAATTACGGTCCATCCGTGCAGAATATTACATCAGGGTATATTCGATGTGACGGTAGAGCATCTGTCAGTAACATGTGCAGCTGGTCCTGTAGTGGGACTGACATTTCATTAGTTAAATACAGTATTTGTGTGATCTAATTAGATCATAATCATTATACAAGTAACTATCAGAGTCACGTGGAGTGAAAATGCACTTGTAATTGAACAATCTATTGGGAATCCCTGAAAATGAACAGGAGAAATGAAGACGTTTCGAAGCTCAGGAAAACTACTACTGCTATTCATTCAAATGTATTTGTTCTTGCGGTGTGACGCCTCCACATAACAGATGAGAGAATAATGGCAAATTTATGCTTATTAACTTTTATAAACTTTCCCTTGAGGCACAAGCACTTAACTAACCCACATCTGTCTATATCTACTGTATGAGTGTGTACTAGCGTACGCTTTATGGACTGCAGATATTGTGTGCTCGTATTTTCTGTGATGTTCCTCATTTTAGGCTGCTTTGGATAAAAGCAATGAATATATGTAAATGTAACCATTGGAAACCGTGTCAAAATAGCTTAATAATGCCTTGAATATCCTCCGGTGTGACATTCAAAACTATTTGCATGCCATTTTCACTACCTCATGTTGTACTTCTCACTATTTTGACACAACAAGGTCATTATAAAGTGAGCTAGAAGACAAACGGTTGATTAAAACTGGTTAAACTTAAGTCAGCGCATCGGAACATACACATTACCTTATGTAGAGTATCTGGTCAGGCTCACATGACACACACACACACACACACAGATCGCCTTCCCCCACACCTAAAGTCAACACTGGCAGAACGGGGGTTATGTTAAAGACTGAATTTTATTACCCAATGGAATTTCCCGAGAAGGGTGACTCTCTTAATTCTTGCTGAAGAAGAAATGAACCCTGTTTCATTCTATATATTCTATGTATATATATATATATAACCATGTGATAACTATATTAACAGGTATCTAAGGTCCCATCTCATGATTTTCCTGTTTGTTGTTTGGTCTATGTTGCTTGTAAATGGGTTAATGTTCCAGACTTTGCATACCATGGGTAAACAGAATCATATGTGTGGCATATTTGGTCTCTATAACCTGGTACTTTGAAGATTGAAATGACTGGGTAAATTATATGTCGATAACAACAACATATGAGTATTACCAGAATCTTTTCATAGTTTCTTTCACAGTTGATTATAATCCCTAGTGGTTAACTGTCTGGGTACATATACAAATACAGATGCAGGTAACAGATTATCCCCCTCTTTGGGCGATTTAACATGTATAAGTACCTGGTTCAAACCCGTATGAATAATTATTAATTATGAATTATTCATTATTGAATACATATTCCCCAAAACCCCAAATACTTTACACTTATATAATATATAAAGCCTCAATGAAAACAAAAGATCGTGTCCATTTGTCAGCTATACTGTCCAGCCCTGCTTTACATGTTAAACAAGAAATGTTTCGCTTCTCCTTCTGTCATTTGACACTGTAAGCGTTATAAAGTGAATGTCAGTCCAGCAGGACAAGGCCTGATCAATCATTCACAGATAATCCTCATCGCCTCCGCTGACAGTGAACTATGATCAGACATACAGAGACACTGAACAGAACAGAAAGTGGATTCAGCTTTTGATCGGTAGTGTATGTAAGCGTTCTTGTATTCATATGATCAAATACAGCTTTCTAAAACACGGTCACGAGATCTGCTCTCATGCAGGAAGGGTGAAGTGTAGTGGTAAACTCAAACACACACACACGTCTGGAGGCCGGTGAGAGGGTCAGGAACCGAGATAACATCAGGGCCAACGGCAAACAAAACACACTCCATCACCCACACACATCTAGTATCATTACACAGTTTAGAGGTGATGTAGGGTAAAGCACATTACATTCACATTACGCATTTGGCAGATGCTTCTATCCAAAGCGACTCACATTGCATTTCAAGCTACACATTTACATTCTTATCAGTTCTTGCTTTCCCTGGTATCGAACCCATGACCTTGGCGTTGCAAGCACCAATGCTCTACTGTTTGAGCTATAGGGGAAAACAAGTCCAATAAAAAATAGTAAGTAAATGAAAAGGTAAGGTAGAGTACGCCGTGGGAGAACGTCTGCTTGTCTGGAGGTGTTCGGGACTTTCTGCTCCTGTGAGATTAAAACACTGAACGCAAGTGATTCCTTAAGCCAGCAACTATCAGCTAAAGTTCTCTCTCAGTTTTCCGTGCATGTTGTGTTGTCAGGGAAGTATATCTAGCCAGATCTAAGAAGCTGTGATCGGCACGCCAGAAGAATGAGGCCGTCTGAATGTGCTCGTCATAATGAATGGGAATAAATCAGAGAAGAGTGACCGATACAGAACAAAACCATCACATTTATATTCATACACTCACCTAAAGGATTATTAGGAACACCATAATAATACTGTGTTTGACCCTCTTTCGCCTTCAGAACTGCCTTAATTCTATGTGGCATTGATTCAACAAGCTGCAAGCTCCCAACAAGCTCCCTGCTGAAAGCATTCTTTAGAAATGTTGGCCCATATTGATAGGATAGCATCTTGCAGTTGATGGAGATTTGTGGGATGCACATCCAGGGCACGAAGCTCCCGTTCCACCACATCCCAAAGATGCTCTATTGGGTTGAGATCTGGTGACTGTGGGGCCATTTTAGTACAGTGAACTCATATACCCCTTTTCCACCAAAAACGAACTGGTTCGGAACTGGTGCTGGTTCAAAGTTGGTTCGGAGTTGGTTCAACTTGCGAACCTTCTCAGAACCTGTTTGTTTTTCCACCATAGAGCGCCCAGCGAACGACGTCGTTACGTCACTGTGTACGTCGCCATATATCTTAGCTAGAAACGCTTGAAAGTACAACATTACTTTGGGATTATCTCTATCTCGTGAACCAAGAAGGCTTTAAAAACAATTGAAATATGTAAGTCTTTTAATCTTTTCCTTTGAGATGTAATCTTTTCTGATTAGTTATGTACTCCTGTCTTGTGTCTTTTTTTCTTTCCATTTATTTGTTCTATATTGTGACTGTTTTCTCCTTTGCTTACATAACGTTTTCAATAAAAAAATAAAACTAGAAACGCTTGCGCCAACTTCAAGCATAACAATTACAATGGCGGACTACATCGTGTTTCTGCAAATGTTTCTCCTGGCTTTTCGATCCTATTAAGTCAGAAAATGTTATCTAAACCCGCCCCCAGCCCCCGAGGTAAGCATGACGTGGTAAAAGAACGGTTCTAGTCCAGCAAAGAGTTGGTGCCGCTTTGGAACCAGTTTTCCTGGCCGAGAACCGGTTCTTTGGCTGTCGAAACACAAAGAACTGGTTCGCGCGCAGGCACCGGCTCCGAACCAGCTCTCAAAATGTGTTGGTGGAAAAGGGGTAAGAGTCATGTTCAAGAAACCAATTTGAAATGATTGTGACATGGTGCATTATACTGCTGGAAGTAGCCATCAGAGGATGGGTACATGGTGGCCATAAAGGGATGGACATGGTCAGAAACAATGCTCAGGTAGGCCGTGGCATTTAAACGATGCCCAATTGGCACTAAGGGGCCTAAAGTGTGCCAAGAAAACATCCCCCACACCATTACACCACCACCACCAGCCTGCACAGTGGTAACAAGGCATGATGGATCCATGTTCTCATTCTGTTTACGCCAAATTCTGACTCTACCATCTGAATGTCTCAACAGAAATCGAGACTCATCAGACCAGGCAACATTTTTCCAGTCTTCAACTGTCCAATTTTGGTGAGCTCTTGCAAATTGTAGCCTCTTTCTCCTATTTGTAGTGGAGATGAGTGGTACCCGGTGGAGTCTTCTGCTGTTGTAGCCCATCCGCCTCAAGGTTGTGCGTGTTGTGGCTTCACAAATGCTTTGCTGCATACCTCGGTTGTAACGAGTGGTTATTTCAGTCAAAGTTGCGCTTCTATCAGCTTGAATCAGTCGGCCCATTCTCCTCTGACCTCTAGCATCAACAAGGCATTTTCGCCCACAGGACTGCCGCATACTGGATGTTTTTCCCTTTTCACACCATTCTTTGTAAACCCGAGAAATGGTTGTGGGGGAAAATCCCAGTAACTGAGCAGATTGTGAAATACTCAGACCGGCCCGTCTGGCACCAACAACCATGCCACGCTCCAAATTGCTTAAATCACCTTTCTTTCCCATTCTGACATTCGGTTTGGAGTTCAGGAGATTGTCTTGACCAGGACCACACCCCTAAATGCACTGAAGCAACTGCCATGTGATTGGTTGATTAGATAATTGCATTAATGAGAAATTGAACAGGTGTTCCTAATAATCCTTTAGATGAGTGTATATATAGTATGACCTGAGAAGACTCGGGTACGAGTACGGACTGCTTTAATGGTACTTTAACTGTACTTTTTGGTGCACTATACTGGGCATCCTTACACAATCTGACTATGAATATGTTCAGTCTTTGGTAATATCTTTAGGCCTCATTCTAAGTCCACGGCACGCGGAGATGAAATGAGCACATTCACTGCAGCGAGAGCCTCATGAAAGAGCTAGGAGAGGCAGGAGGGCTGTAATAAAGGTCACAGCTACAGTCTGGAAATCCCTTAGACTTCGGTATCATTGTTCATAATGCTTCATAATAACAGGGACTCAGAAGGCGCCATTGTCTCCTGTCTGATGTCTACAGGCAATCACTTCTCGTACAAATCCCAGCATTAATGAAAAAGAGTTAAAGTAGCAGTTTGTGTAACCCAGACAACTATTATAATCTCAGTCGGCGAATCTACCACACGCTCGCTGAACGTCTAGCGCGTACTGCACACAAAATACACATAGCAGAGTGCAGATCTGAGTTATGTTTTTAATTAGAAACAACAAACACAATGGTTTAAAAGGTCTCATGATGGTATGATACTGTACGAAGCAGACAGCTCGAATTTGCTTTTATAAAGCTAGAAACACTTTAAATCTCATATTATTGCATCTATTACTGAGGGGGAATACCCATAATGCCTTGCACTTGCATGGTTTATTTTGGTGTGTCTGGTCCAAACATGGGCAATTATGAGGATGTGTAGATTTACAGGATTAAGGGTTAAAACATTTATTTAGTGTTTTGATGGTTTTATCTTAAAAAAAAAAAAACGTAGTATGATTAGTGTTACTTCTGGTAGAGACATACAGTTGTTCTGTAAAGTTAGATTATTAGTTGACTTAACCCCATATTTAACTTAATGTCTTAAAGTCCCCCTGTGGTGAAAATCCAGCTTTTAAATGTTGTTTAAATGTGTATGTGGTGTTTTTAATCTGCTTTAAGACAAACCATGTGCAAATTCATTAAAAAGTATTTCCTCCTTAAAACTGCAGTGAACCAAAGACAGTCTCAAACACACGGTTTGAAATCGCTGGTGTTTCTGACGTCACAAACGACCTTGTAACCAATCAGATCAACGTGTGATCGTCAACCAGTGGATCTCTGAGCTGAGTGAGTGGAGGCGGGGCTCATTTGCATATTCATAGAACCGTGCATACTAAATGAGGCAAGAGTGTCGAGTTACATTCAAGCTATTTTAAGGAGTGAAGAATTTTATTTTCAAGGAAAAAACGTTTAAAGATGAGTTTTAAGGGATACAATTATTTTAACTAGGTGGACTTTAAGAACCAAGGCCACTTAATCTTTTTTTTTTGCTATTTCTTTCTGGAAATGTTGTCACATCTTTATCTCAAGTCATCAAAAAATGGAGAACAATCATATTTCGTAATAGCACCGCACATTACTCATTACATAATACCAGCTTAATTTTAACATACAAACCTCATAATCATGTCGCAGGTTCTCATCAGCTTCCCAATGTTTCACTGATCAAGTCCCATGATCGTAAATCACAATATACAGTACAGCCTGAGAAGAGAGAGAGACGGGACTCACCTGTGGGCGTAACCACGACCTTCCCCATCTCCACAGACTTCTCCAGGATCTTCCTCCATCTTCTTCCCTCCTCCCCCTGCCTCACCCACTCCTGGGCCGCACACACGTACTCCCCTTGGTCTGACGGCTTCGCTCTCTTCAGGACTAGTCCGTAAAATCCCCCTCCTCGAAGGTCCAAGCGCAGCCCCCCGTCTGTGTAACGCTGCGTGTAGATGCTGCCTACTGTGATCTTATCGTCCGGCCCGAATGTCACGATGTCCTCGAGCGGGCCGGTTTCGGTTCTCCTGATGGACCAGGACACGGAGAGGAAGGTGTGCTCTGTGAAGCCTCGCGTCGCGTTGCACTGAAGCTCCACGGGTTCTCCCTCGGACACCGCGGGCTTGGGAATGGCGGGAGAAACCTTCAGACTGTCGCCGATCACTGGACACAACAGAGGACACTTTAAAAAAGGTGCATTGTGTAAAATATAGGAGGATCTGTTACTGAAATGCAATATCACATAACTATTATATGTTGTCAGTGGTGTATAAAGACCTCACTTAATGAACCGTTGTGTTTTTATTAGCTTAGAACGAGCCTTTTCTCTCTACACACACCGCGGGTCGCCTTACATCGACATGTTTCTACAGTGGCCCTAAAGGGACGAACGCGTTTCGTCACTAATGTTGTTCTTCCTGTAAAGATACTAGCTAAAGTCAGCGAATAAAACACTGACAAGATGATGAACACGTTACAATAATATTCGCAATAACATTGTTTTACTGAATAATTAAGTAAACTAATTTCTTAATTCTGCTGTTTCAGACGACGACATCACTTCCTGTCGGCCACCGTAACTTCTGTTGGGTGCAATTCGCAACCTCACCACTAGATGAAAAATCTCACAGTGCAGCTTTAAAGCAGGCGGGGGAAGAGATGTGCGTTTTTACAGGTGAAGTGTGTGATTTCAACGTCACCAGACTTGCACAAATATTGTATTCAATACACCACCTGTCTTCCATTGTTAGAACAAACAGATAATCACACACCAATCTCAAAACGCTGGCTTAGAACATGTTATTTTCGACCCTGTCTGGCTCCTCAAAATTGTAATTTTGTTTGTTGCAGAAATAACACACTTCACCTGTAACAAGACATCTGGAATCAGCACTAATACAACATTAATGGGATATGATGAAGGAAAAACATACATATGTGATTACACTCTTTCTTGATCATCAGATCATCATATTAGAGTGATTTCTAAAGGATCATGTGACACTGAAGACTGGAGTAATGATGTTGAACATTCAGCTTTGATCACAGGAATAAATCACACTTTACTAGATATTCACATAGAAAACAGCTGATTTAAATGGTAATAATATTTCACAGTTTTACTGTTTTTACTCCATATTTGTTCAAATAAATGCAACCTTTTTCTGATCTCAACTCATTTCAGGCCAAAACAAATATCTTCAAGAAAATGATCAGACATTTAATATTTATTGTATTTATTGCTGAAACAAAGACTTTCATTCTGAAGCTCCTAAACTCATCATGACATGAACAACCGACTGAACACTTTCAGAGAAAAGGACATTTCGGTCACTCGTTTCCTCACACTTTCGACTCGACCCTTGACCTCTCTCACGCTCTGTGTCTGTCAGTGTCAGTCTCTTTTGGTTAAAGTTTTAGGGAAATTCCTGATGGTGACGGCGTCCGTAACGCTCTTCTCGATCTCTAAATCTACAAATGAAAGGGAATGTCAGAACATTTACTGACCCAGAAACCCTACAGATAATGCAGTATCAGTCAGACCTAGCGGAAGATTTTTAATCAGTAATCGTCACACAAGGCTATCAAGTGGCTTCGGGGTGTAGAAGTTAATACTGACTACTTTTACTGTACTATTACAGTGTCAAACTGTTGTTATAGAAAAGAGCTGCTAGAAGATTGTGTTACACAGAAAGAAATAACAGCATTTCGGTTTAGAGGATCCAAATTACAGCAAAGTGAGTGAGTAAATAAAGATTTGTTTTATTTTATTTTGGGTGAACTGTCTTTAAGAATAAAAAAGATGTGATTATCGGTGCGGATGAGTTCATTTTGTCCATCTCCAGAAAAGGAAAGGAGTGATAAAATCAGCACATCTTAAGAAAAGCATCAGAGCTCAACAGACTTTCACTCTATTCAGCAGAACAAAGAACAAGTCTTTGTATTTGTGTGACACTTCAAGCCTCGCAGCGAATCACATTCCTTTACACTTCTAGTTTAAACATGTAAAGCCTACTGTATCCGATACACTACAGGCTCGACGAGATCAAACTGCTGAAGAATCAACTTCCTCTGCTCATTTCATCTTCAGATCTCTTTTTGTATTTGATTATTTAACATTGACAAAATTTAGTTCACAAGATCAAATGAAAATGGTTATTTTTCCAAGTTAATGGAATTTAACGAATAGGCAAATATCAGTAAATATGAGCTTCATTGAGATCAACTCTACGAAGACTACTGTATCATATTTGATACACACACATCTAAGGCCTCTGAATGATGAAGAACTGCTCTGATTTATCAAGGAAACGCTAGAATAACTTTGATATTGTTAGTAATATTTCAAGATGAACACTTACTGAAGCAGCTTTACTTTTCATTCATCATCATTTATTAGACAAATCATGAGTGTCAAATATGACCATCAGGCTTTTGAGGAAGGTTTATTTGTTCATCCCTCAATCATTATACGTTTTAAAACTACAGAGCTTTGATCATAAAACTAAGCATTGAAATATACTCTTACTAAGACTTATTATTGGCAGATATAGAGTGATGACTGATATTTATATGATTTTATGTCTCATTGATTTACATTACAAGCATCTAGGGTTGCAAAGGGGCTGAACATTTACAAAACATCCTGAAAGGTGTGCAATCCTCCTGCATCAGACTTGTCTCTTACTTTTTGTCCATGTAAATCAATGTCTGCACAAAATTGCATATTTTTGCTCAGTTTGGGCCTCTAAATAAAACTGAGCTGTTTTTCCCCCTCTTTATTCTCACTATATAGTATTATATGGCCTATAAAAGTCTGATGTATCACTATGATACCCAAAAAACACATATGCAAACTTATTTTCCATACGTGGAATAGGAGAAGCCTGCTTTCTACTTTCATCAACTCAGTTTGGTTTCGTTTGTGTCAGCCGGAAAGAATAGACCTCCTCTGTTTAATTTACATTCGCATTAGATAAGTTATCATTTCTTAGTTTCTCTGATCAGTGGACCTATAAGGGCTTGTTCGTGCCGGCACAGACTTCTAGAGCACAGACAGCTGATATAATGGCAAAATATACAACTCAACTTAACTATAACAAATAAAGACATGTGAGTTTTAAATAACTTAAAACACAGAATCTAAATGAACCGTTGCGATACTAATATTCACCCGGTTCACAGATGCACAGGTTTTGGCAGTACGGCCACTTCTGAGTTATTAACTGATAATCTCCGAATGCCAAAATAGCAGTCAATATACAAGCGTATCAATTTTCTCTCTGTATATTCTAAAGTCGTTGCAACATTTTTATTATAAATAAATAAATGATTTCAGTTTGGTCTGGCAGATGGAGCGGGACAGTTGAAGTCGTACTTCCAGATGGAGCATAATATGAATAAATGAACCTGCTTTTCTAGTCTCACTCAAGCTTACAAGGGGCTTTTGCACCGGGTAGTTTTAGGAACTCAGTTATAGGAACTCAGTTATAGGAACTCGCCCAGCAGGGTGATTCCCCGAGAACCAATAGTTTATTTTCCAACGTTTTCCTGGTTTCGTTCGCACCGCCAGTAGGATCTCTGAAGTGACGTATGACTCGTTTGTTGTTGAGACTTTTATTGTGACGGCGCTGAGAACGCCTGAGCTCACATTCTCTGTTCATTAGTTTACCATCTGTCTAACAGTTCGGTCTAATATACATACATTATTAGATAGAACTGTTATACACAGAAAGTAGACAGTGATGATAAGGTATTAGCGTATGCCGTGTGGTTGATGTCCAGTGTTGCTGAGGAGAAATACATAATCATGTTTCTCTCGGTCCCTCAAAGCTGCGTTGGATTTTCTCCTCAGCGTAGTTTAAGAGCTCCACCTATCAGTGACTACGTTTACATGCAGCCAATAACCCGTTCAAAACCGGGATATTAGCAATAACCCGGTCGCGAACGGCCATGTAAACACCGGCAAAAACCCGAATATGCTCATATCCCGGATTTTAAAAACCGGGATATGATACCTGGGGTACCCCTTTTCTAACCCGAATTTTTGGTCATGTAAACGCGCATCGGCATATCCCCATAGTGATGTGTGTTCTGCGCATGTTCTATTCGCAAGGAATCTTGGTCTTTTGACTAGAGAAACTTCTCGGCGCATACAAAACCCCGCGTGCAGTACCGGAAGTAAACATGGCGAGACGCAGCACAGCAAACTTTTGGAGCGAGGTCAGTACCAGCATAGACAGTATAAGAAAGAGTACCAGCACCAAAGCGCAAACAAAGGCGATCGCTATCTGCCCCGAACTATTCATTATCCGCGTGCTGCTGTTGTTGTTGTTTTTGGATACAGGAAGAAGAATCGGAAATGACGCATATTGCGTCTTAAGGTGGTCCGTACGTCTTGACGCTAACCGTGCGTCGCCGTTTACATCGGGATATTGCAATTCCATGTATACAGGAGAAACTCTCTCTGCTCACGCATGTAAACGGGTTATTCCTAATGTTTCAGAAACCCGAATAGTGACCTTAACCCAACCATAACCCGAAAATTGGCTGCATGTAAACGTAGTCACTGTTTTACATGTTTATAGAGTTAGTTTCTGGAGTAAATATATAGGCTATAATCTGTGTGTTTACACAGCTTTATTAAAAACGGCGGGTGCTGGTGTTTCACGTGCGTTCGGCCAATCAGCGAACACTAACGGCACTGTAGTTCCTATAGTGCTGGTTTAGACCGACTCTGAAGTAGGAGTAAATTAGTTCCTCTAAAAGGAGTTTCTAGAACTAAAAATCGTTCCCAGTTCCTGCAGTGCCAACACGCCAAAAAACGGGAACTTCCGAAAATAGTTGGTGAGAAAGCCCCTAAAGCCAGAGGTGTCTGGTAAAGCGGCTGGTTAAGCGTCTGGTAAAGCGTCTGGTAAAGCGTCTGGTAAAGCGTCCGGTAAAGCGTCTGGTAAAGCGTCTGGTAAAGCGTCTGGTAAAGCGCCTGGTAAAGCGTCTGGTAAAGCGTCTGGTTAAGCGCCTGGTAAAGCGTCTGGTAAAGCGTCTGGTAAAGCGTCTGGTAAAGCGCCTGGTAAAGCGTCTGGTAAAGCGTCTGGTTAAGCGCCTGGTAAAGCGTCTGGTAAAGCGCCTGGTAAAGCGTCTGGTAAAGCGTCTGGTAAAGCGCCTGGTAAAGCGTCTGGTTAAGCGTCTGGTTAAGCGCCTGGTAAAGCGTCTGGTAAAGCGTCTGGTAAAGCGCCTGGTAAAGCGCCTGGTAAAGCGTCTGGTAAAGCGTCTGGTAAAGCGCCTGGTTAAGCGTCTGGTAAAGCGTCTGGTAAAGCGCCTGGTAAAGCGTCTGGTAAAGCGTCTGGTAAAGCGCCTGGTTAAGCGTCTGGTAAAGCGTCTGGTAAAGCGCCTGGTAAAGCGTCTGGTAAAGCGTCTGGTAAAGCGCCTGGTAAAGCGTCTGGTTAAGCGTCTGGTAAAGCGTCTGGTAAAGCGCCTGGTAAAGCGTCTGGTAAAGCGTCTGGTAAAGCGCCTGGTTAAGCGTCTGGTAAAGCGTCTGGTAAAGCGTCTGGTAAAGCGTCTGGTTAAGCGTCTGGTTAAGCGCCTGGTAAAGCGCCTGGTAAAGCGTCTGGTAAAGCGCCTGGTAAAGCGTCTGGTAAAGCGGCTGGTTAAGCGGCTGGTTAAGCGGCTGGTTAAGCGGCTGGTTAAGCGGCTGGTTAAGCGTCTGGTAAAGCGTCTGGTAAAGCGTCTGGTAAAGCGCCTGGTTAAGCATCTGGTAAAGCGCCTGGTTAAGCGTCTGGTAAAGCGTCTGGTAAAGCGTCTGGTAAAGCGTCTGGTAAAGCGTCTGGTAAAGCGTCTGGTTAAGCGCCTGGTAAAGCGTCTAGTAAAGCGCCTGGTAAAGCGTCTGGTAAAGCGCCTGGTAAAGCGTCTGGTAAAGCGTCTGGTAAAGCGGCTGGTAAAGCGGCTGGTAAAGCGGCTGGTTAAGCGGCTGGTTAAGCGGCTGGTTAAGCGTCTGGTAAAGCGCCTGGTAAAGCGCCTGGTTAAGCGTCTGGTAAAGCGTCTGGTAAAGCGTCTGGTAAAGCGCCTGGTTAAGCGTCTGGTAAAGCGCCTGGTAAAGCGTCTGGTAAAGCGTCTGGTAAAGCGCCTGGTTAAGCGTCTGGTAAAGCGCCTGGTAAAGCGTCTGGTAAAGCGTCTGGTAAAGCGTCTGGTAAAGCGGCTGGTTAAGCGGCTGGTTAAGCGTCTGGTAAAGCGCCTGGTAAAGCGCCTGGTTAAGCGTCTGGTAAAGCGCCTGGTAAAGCGTCTGGTAAAGCGTCTGGTAAAGCGCCTGGTTAAGCGCCTGGTAAAGCGTCTGGTAAAGCGTCTAGTAAAGCGCCTGGTAAAGCGTCTGGTAAAGCGTCTGGTTAAGCGTCTGGTAAAGCGTCTGGTAAAGCGTCTGGTAAAGCGCCTGGTTAAGCGTCTGGTAAAGCGCCTGGTTAAGCGTCTGGTAAAGCGTCTGGTAAAGCGTCTGGTAAAGCGTCTGGTTAAGCGCCTGGTAAAGCGTCTAGTAAAGCGCCTGGTAAAGCGTCTGGTAAAGCGCCTGGTAAAGCGTCTGGTAAAGCGGCTGGTAAAGCGGCTGGTAAAGCGGCTGGTTAAGCGGCTGGTTAAGCGGCTGGTTAAGCGGCTGGTTAAGCGTCTGGTAAAGCGCCTGGTAAAGCGCCTGGTAAAGCGGCTGATAAAGCGGCTGGTTAAGCGGCTGATAAAGCGGCTGGTAAAGCGCCTGGTTAAGCGTCTGGTAAAGCGGCTGGTAAAGCGCCTGGTAAAGCGCCTGGTAAAGCGGCTGATAAAGCGGCTGGTTAAGCGGCTGATAAAGCGGCTGGTAAAGCGCCTGGTAAAGCGCCTGGTAAAGCGCCTGGTAAAGCGGCTGATAAAGCGGCTGGTTAAGCGGCTGATAAAGCGGCTGGTAAAGCGCCTGGTAAAGCGCCTGGTAAAGCGGCTGATAAAGCGGCTGGTTAAGCGGCTGATAAAGCGGCTGGTAAAGCGCCTGGTAAAGCGCCTGGTAAAGCGCCTGGTAAAGCGGCTGATAAAGCGGCTGGTTAAGCGGCTGGTAAAGCGGCTGGTTAACGTCGGACACGTTAAGCCTCTGGTAAAGCCTCTGGTAAAGCGTCTGGTAAACGCAGGCTTGACTCACCCTTGAGCTCCACATCGGCCTGGTAGTTCCCGCTGATGACGGAGTCTGTGCTCGGGGTGCTGCAGCGATACACACCGCTGTCTGTCGCTCGCACCTTCTTGAACCTGAGCTCCGCTGAATCATCACCCAGCTTCTTATAACTGATGTCCCCGCTGTTGACCCGGTCCCTCACTGAGGGGTCCATGAAGTTAACGTCGAAGGTGGAGACGAGATGGAGCAATTTATCACCGGCCTGGATCATGGACCACTCGAAATCCTGGTCCCGGGGCCCCTGGTAGTCGGACACGTTGCAGCGGATGGAGACGGCCTGTCCCTCGACATGCACCAGAGGACCGACTGGCACCTTCACCACACGGCCCTCGCTGAACAGCACTGAGACGAGAAGACACGAGAGATCACATATATGGACAACTATACAGTATGATCACATATACAGTGTCAGTGTGCATCTACACATTATAGAATACAAGTATAGTCATCAAAACTGTGATATAAATGCAAGTGATCACAAAACTATATTTTGTCAGCACAAAGTCGCCACCCACGCAAAGCATCCTGGGAAGCTTTTTAAACAATACTGTTTGTATGACAGACACTTTGCTTGTTTTTTCCCCTTCACCACCTTGTTCAGCTCATCTATTTAAAACAGTTTTTATTAAGTGAAAAAATATATATTTAGGCACAATGTATGTTTGTATATAAAACTAATTTCAAGCATTTACCTTACCCTTTATTATCTATAAAAATGTTTTAAATAAAATTGGTCTTTGACAGTGGCATAAAAAAGACGGCCACAATATATCGGCCACCATATCGGTATCGCCCGATAATGTTAATTTGTAATGTTGTCGTTATCAGCCTGATAAGAAAATGCGTCCGCTAAAAAAGCCGATTAATAATGTATTATTTCCTTCAGCTGAGTCACTTCAGGTGTGCACCGTTCACCATGATGGTTTTGAATTGCTTGAAATATGATTGGAATCACTTCAAAAAAGGAATATACAGTTCAGTGCAACATGTCGGCTACATACAGTTATAATGAGAAAATTAAAACGGTGTGATTTGGGCATTGCTTTTAATGTTGAGACTTGTCTTTTTGTAATCGGCTCTCAAAAATTATATAAAATTTGGATTTAGATTCATCAGCCAATATATCGGTTTTCGGCTTTCAAATATAAAGAATTATCGGTATCTGCCAAAATGTTAATATCGGTGCATCCCTAATAAAAACTATACCAAAGTGTCTAAGTGACATCTACGTTAAAAGAAACCACTTTATTTTACTCCAGATGTTTTTTTTTCCACTCTGAATGTCACTTTGACATTTAACGTTTGCCATTTTTAAAAGGTATAAGCCCTCAGATCAAAAATCACACGACCAAAGTAATTTAGGCCTGGGTTCACAGACAGGGCTGAGATTAAATCAGGATTAGACCTTAGTTCAATTAGCACACTGAAGTAGCTTTTATTAATGCGCCTACAAACATTACTGGTGCATCTTGAGACAAAACAATGGCACTGACATATTTTAAGATATATTGCTTTCAGTTAAACCAGCTCAAACATGCATTTTAGTCTGGGACTAGACTGTGAAACCAGGGGTTAACGTCATAAAAACCAAATTCAGTCACGTTTGTCCAAACCATGACACTCAATACACTAAGCAACCATGAAGACAGAAAGTGTGGTGATGTCAGAGGAAATGATCAATCCCGAGTACAGGATGAGTCATCAATATTTTTGCTGTGTTTTCCCCCTGTAAGATAAAGACTGTCCATTTTAAAGGCGTTCATCTGTACACTTCAAAGAGTCTGTTCGTGGAAATGTTTATTGTAAATTACCATATTAGGTTCAAAGCACTGGAATAAAAACATGCAGTTCGCAACTAAAGGTGAATATTAACATTTGTATTGGGTTCGGGAATTAAGTGCCGTGAGACGAATTACATCAGCATGGCAGACGAACACAAACCCACAGACAAACCAGAAGAAGAGAAGAACGGAGGGACCGAGACCAAAACTGAGAGAAGATGACATGTAACAACTCGTTTCCTCATGAGGGATCGGTTGTTCTCGTAAGGTGGAGGACTCAGAAGACAAACATTGTAGACACTAGAGAAATATATGGTACAATAAAACCTGCTGTCAAGCAACTGAGGTCAAACACTACTACAGTATTTAAACCAGGACACAGTGAAAGTAGATATGAGCGGATTATATGAATGATAATGAATGTGAGCCAGGAACGAGCCGGATCAGATAACACAAAAAAAACTTATCGGCACAGTATTCTAGTATGCGGATCTGAATTCAGAAAACTTTACAGTCCTTTAGTATGTCAGGTTGTAGAAGTTTTCAGGCAGATGCTAAGATTCCTCATCCCCAAATCAAGCACATAACCAAATATTCAGAGACCGAAGGACCACATGTAGTCTATTTGTCAATGTAAACTCAAATATTATTCTAAATATCTGAGACCAATGTTTATGGAGGCTACATTTGAAAACGAATAACTCAATAAATAAACACATTTTGTGAATTATTGTATGTCGAGAGCATGAACATTGACATTTAATACACTTTGAAGCTATATTGTTGGACTCATACGGTTCATAGTCGCTTAATATTCATTTAATGTTTGATTTTAAGGCTATCTTTGAATGGTAAACTTTGGCACTTAAACCTGTTTTTCAAACATCATGTTCAGTATGGCCTATCAGTGGTTTTGCTTTAGGACATGGGGAGTAACGTTAGTCCTAAAGCAAAACCACTAAACAAGATGATTGAAAAACAGGTTTAAGTGCCAAAGTTTACCAGATAGCCTTAAAATCAAACATTAAATGAATATTAGGCGACTATGAACAGTATGAGTCCAACAATACAGCTTCAAAGTGTATCTTAAATGTCAATGTTCATGTTCTCGACATACAATAATTCACAAAAGGCGTTTATTTATTGAGTTATTTATTCGTTTTCATACTAAACAAAATGTTTGAAAAACAGGTTACTCTAACGTTATCTGCTTGCAGTAAACACACTATACAACCAAACTAGCCACTGGATCGCTTCATTTAATGGATCATGTAACGTTAGACAATTAAGTTAGACCTGATTCGTTATCACACAATACAGACTAAAGGAAACATCTCAAGCGCTTCTGCTATCTTTTGACGATAATAATCTAAGTTTGAGGTCGATCTAAAACACAACAAGCTTATTTTCTAGTATAAAATAGTCTAGTAAGATTAAACAACCATATGCCGAGTTTATACTATTATAAACTCGTAATATGGTTGTTTTATCTTACTATAGGCTATTTTATGATGAAAACGAGCTTGTATTTAGAGGAAATTAGTTGCATGTCTAACTTTTTTTGTTGTTATCTAAACTAATTTAAATACAAACACAAACGCCTTATACAGGCGTTTCTTGATCAAGAACTAACGTTAGTCAACTTACCAAGAGCAAAAAACAAAATCACAGGACGAAGGAGTCCCGTTCCTTTATCCATTTTGTGAAGGCGCGTGATTTTCCCACGGGATCGCCTTTGTCACTCAAACCGGGCAGAGAGAGAGAAATCCTGGACGAGTCTCTCCCACGAGCGCGGATTAAAGTTCAGTCCTTCAGTCCTTTAGTCCTGTGAACTGGTGGATCTGCGCGAGCTGCATGATAAAACACACACTGAGGACTGGATTGGCACAGTCGTGTCCGGAAGTGAGTGTGTGTGTGAGTCAGTGCGCGCGTGTATGTTGG